TAAAACGTCGGATTTGGATTCTTGAAGACAGTCAGAAGCGGATGCCTTAATTTTTTGGATTTTTCTACCGTTTAGGCACTAAGAAGGAAGGCCTTTTGATGAAACCAATTGTTGGTTCGACCAGGTTCAAAATGGGAGCGAACGGTGGGGCGGGATTGTCCGACATATTCAGGACAAACCTGGTGTTTTGACTGCCCAGATTCAATTCCGGGTTCCCCAGAGTGGTAGGTTGACACCTTAACTTCCTTGTCCATCCTTAATATTATCTATCAGTAGTCAATGATAGCGTTAGCAATAATTAATTAATGTAACCACGAAATTGATCATAGTTATCAATTTTATGCTTATATTAATTAATTACGTGCAACGCTTTCTCTTCGTTCTTCCTCTTCATTATTCTTAGTGTACTAATAATAATTTCTGTCACCATATCTGTAATTAAGTGTATGAAATGTCAGCAATGCTGGATAACTGCTAACACTAATAATCACATGTTAAACTAGGTACAGTGGGTGATCGGTTAACGAACATAATCCGTTCCAAGACTTTGTTCGTTATCCGAATTGTTCGTTAACCAATTATCGATTTACCATAGGTTTTTATGGGAATTTGATTAATTCGTTCCGGAGACTCCAAAAAATAAAAAATATATACTTTTTTACTACGTTTGTTTATATGTAATAGTAAAAATACATATATATATATACAGTCTTGCATTTGCGTAAGTCACGTTTTTCCGTTTGTCGGGGTTAAAGAATCTGTCCAAGTCGAGTGCTTTTCTCTTTTCTTAAGAATGTTTTGGAAGTAATTAATAATATTGTAATTGTAGAAATCTCCAACCCCCATTAACCTTATTCTGCTTTGGATGCCACTTGGATGATCGTTGTTCTGACAACATCCTCCAACTTCTTCAAAAGATCTTTATTAGCAGATGTTGGCTTCTTTTTCAAAAGAAAACACATCTCGTTGAGTTTCTTGGTATTCTTCATTTGAGAGTTCTTGGAGTTCTTCTGTCGTCAGATCAGTTTCAGGTTCCATTGTGAGCTCTAAAATGCTCTTTATTTCTCAGATGTGATTTTCGTTACTCCATTAGCAGCTTGAGACTTCATGATATATCTTTCATAGCTAAGATTGTGCCTACTGTAGACCTGTTCAAGCAATACCGCCTAGCAACATCAGACATCTTGTGCCCATTTTCTACCTTGGCTATTATCTCTTACTTGGTTTCTACGGTGAGCACAGTTCTTGACACTCCTCTTTTTAGGCTCCATAATATTATCAGTTTCTTTTTTAAATAAAAAGTTCAGAAAAGCACTTACAAAAATTCAGAGAACAGAAATCAACAAGCCCACAAAAAATTATTTAAATGCAAGGCCTGGATGAAATTCAAAATATGGTATTAAAACGTTAATGAATATCCGATGGGACAGTTAAACTTTCACCTTTCGTAAGTAAACCCCGAAGCAAAACTTAACAGTGCCTGTCCGACAGTCTCGCGAATACTATAAAAGATTATTTGTCAGAAAGGTAAACAAAAAGCTGGAATTACAAGAGAGAATTTCAAAATTCGGCGGAATACTATCTGATCGGTATCGGGTTGAGCATCGATGTTGACGTCTCCAGCGCTCCGAAAGGTTTCGAATTGCTACCTGAAGACAAGGGAAAATCAATCGGTATTCGTTATTTTCTGTCGCTTCTTTCTATGTTTGTTCAGTAAAGTGTTCGTTGTCCGATTATAAAAATCTTTCACGAAAGTGTTCGTTATCCGATTTGTTCGCTATCCTAACTGTTCGTTAACCGATCACCCACTGTATTTTCCGTGCATATTAAACGCTCATTATAAAGAGCAAAGTAAAAGATTTTCGTACAGATCAATGTAAATTTTCAGCAATCCGACACTATGCTTACAATCAACAATCGGCCTATAGATTTCCCATGGCAAATTTTGATATCGAATATCTCAGCCCATCATAAATAGAACTTCAAAATTCCGGTTTCGCCACGACATCAGCCTTGCCATGTTAAACATATTTGCAAAAAAATCATATTTAATGGTAATGCGGTTGCTTTAAACTTCGTTTATAGATAAAACACTTTTTGACGAACTCCGCTCAATAAATTGTGCAGTAATTCGTGTTACAGTAATATTAACACAAACCTCGTTAATACAAAGTGCCAATTTTTAAGCCTATTAAACTTTGTTTTAACATGCTTCTTCTAAACAGAAATTGGGATTTTGAAGCTCGATCTGGTGGGATTTAAAAAAGTAAATTGGCAACAATGCGCGGTGTGCCTTTTATACAGTACAGAGCCTTCTCTTTGGAGATTTTAAAACTTTCTTTCCTTGGAATTCTCTCTGCAAATAGGATAAGTCAACTCATTTTTGAACATTTTTAAACTATTGTAACGCTTCATCGGATATTGTAAAAGAAAAGATTTCACTCTGAATAAACGGTATTTTTAAACGAATTAACGGATCATCCGTCATCTACATGCGTGACCTTTCACAAGGTCACGTGATATTACATGATGTTACAATGTTTTACGCATTTTAGTATTTCTTCATCACGTTTTGAGACATAAAACACATTGCAGGAGCAATGTGAGGACTGTCAAAACCATCGCATTCCGTTTTAGACAGGTTTAATTGTATCATATTTTATTACGAAAACATAAACAGCCTTTTGTGCGAAAATAATATATTTAATTTTATTACTTTTGACGTAATTACATACTATTCATTCATATTTGATATATGTAAGTGCATATACATTAACATATAAGCATCTATGATACATACATATTGTATATACTCGTACATTAGACCTTTAGATTCTATACTTTAAAGCAGAGGTTCGCAACCTTTCTTTTGTTTAAACTTCCACATGTAAAAATGTTAGATATATTACGCAAAATCTTGAGAAATGCAAAATTATTCGCGGGGTATGTTTTGTACTATGGATGTCAGTGCATATGGGGGCACGATTTTGACAACCAATTTGAAGCTTAACTCTTGTATCTTTTGTCGAAAATTTCTGAAATTTTGCAGGGAGGTTCGTGTATTAGGAGGATTGATGCTATTAAATGTTAGCTGTTAAATGTCGAAGGGGTGGGTAGATAGAATGGCTCGTGTGTCATATCTCGAGTAGGTTCAAACTTAATGGTTATACAATTCGTTGCTGGATCTTTTATATCAAATATAAAGGTTACTTGATACCACTCTTAAGTCGCTTTGCTCTGTTATATTTAACATGTTTCTTGTTTTCCTTAATCAATTATTTACAGTTCAGTGGTTCCCAATTAGTTTTTCCTGCGTACCACTTCAAGAAAGAGCTCAAACTCGCGTACCCCTTATAATAGAAATTCATATTAATCCATACTAATATAAATTCGAAGGTAATTCTGTCTGTCTGTCACCTTTTGACGTCTAAACCGCTGAACAGGTTTCAATAAAATTTGGCACAGAGATAGCTTACATGTTGGAGATGGACATAAGCTACATTTTACTGCGAGAAAATATCTTACTCCCACGAGAAAATTCGATATAATGCGGGCGAAGCTGTGGGTAGACAGCGAGTGATAAATAGAATAAGTTTTTTTTTCTACATTTATTACCTTTAAAATACAATTTTAATAATAATGAAAATAACATAAGGTTATTTAATGTGACAAATGTGCACGATTTTCTTTGCACAACTTTGTAAAATCTGGTTGCTTTTTGGTCAGCTTCAGCCTCGAGTCATCTTCGAGTTGAAGTCGGTGACGATGTTTAGTTTTCATGTTTGTCATGGCCGAAAATCCGCTATCGCAGAGGTATGTTGTGCAAAATGGTAGTAAATATTTTATTGCCGCTTCGCTGACATGTTAATAATGATAATTGTACAATTAGCACAAATTGTGCTAATTGTATAATTTTTGTTTTTTGCGCAAGAATTTCATTTAGGTATTGTCATAAATGCAATTTTTTGATGAAATTTCGAGAATATTTTTAGTTATAAATAAACGAATTTGTGCATTCCACATCATGTTGTAAATTGCCGAATTTTTGATTGCTTCATCTCATGCATTTAGATTTTAAATCGACCGATTTTAGCCACATTCATGCAATTTCGCGTACCCCCAGGGGTACGCGTACCACTAATTGGGAACCATTGATTTACATGACTAAAACTGGCTTCAAGTAGATAGAAACTTCGTCTTACGTATACATGTGATATAGACAGACATGTATTATTTTAAAGAATTAACACAACAAATGAAACCTTTTAAATTATTAAATCAGTTAATGCAGCGTGTTTTCAACATGTGGTCCGCAAGTAGAGTTAAATTAACAAAGATTAAAATTTTGTTCAATGATGATTTACTTTTCCCACATGATTGGGCTGCAATTTTTTTTATTATTCTTATTTGAAAATTATCTGAAATTTTTTTAATAAGTGAAACAAGTAGAATAAATATCTGATTTTTTTCATCAACCCCGAAATGACCCCTTAAGTTCCATCAATCTCTTTTAAAATACTATTGAAATACTACTGCGGCGATCCCATTAGTAAACCCTGCTTTAAAGTATGATTCGAATAACAGTTCAAACTACAATTGAATCAATAAAATAAAATAAGATTTATTTTTATAATAGATTAATATATATTTATTTAAATATTTTATATATAAAGTTTATACTTGTACTATATGCTGATAATTTTAACTGATATCACTCGTAAAGTTGGCGTTATAGTAAACCTTTCTAGAATTTATTTTGAAAATTAATTAAGACTTGTCAAATGGGGTACACTGAGCGGCGCATCCATTCATTCTGTTTTGGGGGCGAAGGAATTCTTAACTTCGTTATACCTGGGCCTTCATCAACTGTCTGTGTGTATGGCGCTATATCGAAGATATTTGTAGTATTTGAATTTCTTTTTTACTGACGTTATCAATACATCCCAGATTGCTAANGCGGCGTCCCTGGGCATTCGCTATTCAGATCGCCCATGTAAATCTATAAATATTTATGTGATATTTATCTTATGAATATTATTATAAATTCTTTTAAAAATCCATTTAAAGTTTGGAAAATTGAGGATTTAATATTTTGTACTCCTTTAAAATACTAGCGGATAGGGTGGCAGTCCAGCTCGCTGTGGAATCCAGACAGATTGAAAGACCCCAGGAATTTTAATGAGGTAGTCTCTCTGGATACAGCAAGTTGAACCCCGCTGTAGGCCTGGCCGAATCCATAATGGGCTTGCCGTAAAAGGCCTTCTTAGTGCCTACAGGGCGGAAAATTTAAAAAAAAATTAACTCTACGACTTAATATCAGTTAAATATTTATTCTACTGTATATAATATAAGAAATAATATATTCTTTAACTGTTACGATTTCTTTAATTTCCATTATGTATCTAACAATAACTGGATAACAAAAAACGAAATTCCGTATAATTTGGTATTTTCGAGTCGTTTCAATATTCTTTTTCTCTAGTTTTACCTCTATTTTCTTTAACATTTTTGATCATATTTCCTGAAGCATGTTTTAAATTATACGCAAAACCTAACCATGCCATCAAGTCTATAAAAGCTGTACTAAAATTGAATAACTTTCCAAATTCACTTGTTGAATAATCCCAAGGGAAAGTATGGTGATAGTTATGGAATCCTTCGCCTAAAGCAAATAAAGTGACAAACCAATTTTCCCTGGCGTTGATTTTTTTATCGTAAGGTCGGTACCCGTAAAGATGTGCTAGACTGTTTACAGCCCAAGTACTGTGTAACAGAAAAGTATATCTTCCAATACTAGCCACAAAAAAAGCAGTTATTAATTCTTCGTTCCAAAATCGATAAGGTATGAAGGTAGATATCAAAAATCCAAATACAATTGATAACGGGATATAAAACCTGAAAAAGAATAATGAATTAAAATAATATAAACAAAATTATAATTTATTTTGTATAATTTGAAAGTACAACAATAATTTATTCAGTAATTTTTTTGTGTTTTAGCACCTTCAATTAGCCGACCGGATGGCTGAGGCGATTAAGACGTCAAACTACCATTCTGGGGCTCCCGAGATCGAATCCTGGCTTGCAATACCACAGGAATTGTTCATGGCAATCTGTCGGGCCCATCTCTCACCGATCGTTCCGAATGCTAGCGAGTAACGCCCTATTATTTATGGGCAATATGGCGGGCCCATCTCCCACTAGCCTTTTCGAATTCTAGCGAGCAACACCCTAAGAATTATTTATGGTCAATCTGTGGGAGTCCGTCTCTCACCAGTCGTTTCTATTGTGGTGGTCCACCAGTGGAAGAGTGGATGAAACCATTGTAGTTAGTCGCGGATTCGTGCTTCTCCAACGGGCTGATCACGTGGAGTTTTTCAGGTTTTCTTCGCGTATTTAACATCTAATTAAGGACCACTTTCCCATAGTAAGTCTTTCAGGAAGGCATTCCCAGGCCCGCCGTAAGCGGGTGTGCAAGGCGTGCACTGCACGCGGGCGGCACGTCCAGGGGGCGGCAAATCCAACGATCGGTTACGTGATATTCAAAGTCATTGTCATAATACCCACCCTACTTATACCATAAGAAATGTCTTTGCATAGAGAAAAAAATTCTGACCGGCGCGCAATTATTATATTCTTATTTATATTATAGCGTTAAAGCGCCTCTATTGGCATTTATCAGAATTAAAATGCAATGCGAAACGTCTGTCGGCAGGTTGAAGCATCCGGCGGCGCCCGAAAGCCAAGTACCCATAGTCGTGCTCTATGACAGAAGTTGACAGGACTGGCGATAATAGGGAATCCCCACAGAGCTTCCTTCTCAATTTGTACTTGTACGCATTCGAACAGTTCTATCGCATATCAAATTGCAATTATTTTGTTAATAATTTTTCTGACATGGGTCTAAGTATAATTAATCATATTTTAACTTGGTTAGCATTTAAATCTGAAGCTTAAAGACGATTCGAGTAGTGAAACAGACATTGACGGTATTGATTTGTATGATTGAAATCTGTACTTTAAAGTTGCATTTTCCAGAAAACCAGTCTAATGATCCACAAACCCTATTACAATATCTTTTTACTAATGACTTAATATCAACATTTCCTAACACAGCAATAGCACTAAGAATATTACTTACATTGCCGGTTTCAGTTGCATTTGGTGAAAGGTCCTTTTCAAAGTTAAAAATTATAAAAAACTATTTAAGATCAACAATGTACCAGCAAAGACTAAGTAATTTAGCTATAGTTTCAATTGAACACGAAATCTTAGACAGCTTGGATACAAGAAAATTGATAGCAGATTTCGCAAACATAAAGGCAAGAAGAGTTAAATTTCTGTAAATAAATATTTATATGGTTTTACACTTAAGTAAACAAAAATAACTTAGTAATAATAAATAGTTTTTCTTTATAAAGTATTTCTTTTCTTTTTTCACACTCTTATGGGACAACACTAAATAGCCTTACTGGCAAGCTCAGCGTAGGTAGTCGTAGTTAAACAGGGGGCGGCATAATCGGTATTGCACACGGGCGTTCAAACAGCTAGCGGCGTCCCTGGGCATTCGCTATTCAGATCGCCCATGTGTTACGTTGCCATATTCCATCAAACCAGCCATCCAAGCAACGTAATATGGGTCTGACCGAACCGACTGTAGACATTGGAAAAAAGGCCCTTTGTCATCGAGGAAGAAAAAGTTCAAAAGAGTACGAACAAAATTGCATATTATTTACCGAGTTGTAGATATAACTTTCGCTTATTTTGCAAATTAAATTTATATTTACTTGACATTTTCAACTTTCTCTTCCTTTTAGACATAAAAAAATGTCTTTACCTGTCAAATTCGCGGATTCTTTATTATGTAAAACATTTATTTTATAGTGAATCTAATGTTTTAAATAGTCAATTAATTTGGCTTTTCAATATAAGAACGTGTAAAGAATTACTTCTCTGTCAAGGAAATAAATCAATTTTATGTACCTTTTTGTTACGCTGTTAATGTTTTGGTTTGGTTTATTCGGTTAGAAAACGCGACACGTGGGCGATCTGCCGAGGGGATATGCCTCCCAGGAGGACTTTTATGGAAAACTGGTCCTTATTTAAGTGTTACAAAGGTAGAAAACTAAAAACTCCGAGTCTTTAATCGTCCGCATTCGATCGCAGGTCCCCCAAAGAGAGATTAGTACCTTAACCTCTTCGACCATCCATTAATTTTTATTACTACTGACCAATAATTTTTGTATTCATAAACATGGATCAAAAAGTCATATAATAAATACTCGTGTATTAGTATTTAAAGTAAAATGAATAGTAACTGATTAACGTCTAATTGTAAATCTGTGTTTGAGAATACAACCGTTAATCAATGGGCACGTTGAATGGTAAAGTAGCCATTAGTTAATAAAGTATAACAATTTTATTGATTCAACATGTAACATCTGTTAAGAGATTAAGAGAACATTCACAACTTTACGTAAATTTTTAATTCTGTGTACGAGTATCTAACTTTGGCTAAAGTTAAAATGCACTCATTTTTGTAAAAATTGCAACACCATGAAGGAATCAACAGAAATGAATGAAACTTATTCCACATGTAACCTGCAGTGATACAAAGAAATGATTAAATTTACAGAGCAATCAAACAATATTACAAGCCAAAACTCAGTATTTGATGAATTCGCCATGCGCTGCAATAAGAGCTTCTACACGTCGTGGCTTCGAATCAAACAAATTTTGAATGTCTACCTGAAAAAAAGCATTCCAGATTGCTTCTATCTAACCCGAAGTTCACCCGTATTGGCTGCGGGACGAGCATCACTAGCGCGTTTCCGCCCCACGAAATCCCAGTCAATAGGCAACATTTAGGCCTATACTCAGGGGCGGACAACCCTGATATTTGTCCAGGGCGGCAAATCTAAAGGGCAGCATTTTGGTTGTGTCACTTTAATACATTATAATATAATATAATCAATTATAATTTAATTTAATTATAAATCTAAAGATATTTTGCTAAATTTTCTATGATTTTTAAACGATGAAAGTTTATAGAACAGGGCAAAACAATTTTTTAATCGAGTGGTCTGTGTCTAAATAGTATTGATTTTGTAACTTATTTATCTCTTTATTTAGTCAACGTTTTGTGTTATTAAATCAAGCATTTTTTATATTGTGTGATACTTACGGTTTTATCTTTTTTAGGCAGGGCAAATCTTCAATTTTAATTATTATCATTATTTTATATTTTACATTGTTTAATTTGAGATATTTCAGAATGTCTGACGGACAAAGAAAACTGTCTGGTTCCAGTACAAAAGACGAAGGATGGAAAAGGAACCCGAATGAAAAACCAAGCTTTAAAAAATTATTACAAAGTACGTCTGATAGTACCAAAACAAAAGATGACTCAGAGAATCTAAAATCAAATTCGGTTATAAAAGAAAACACATAATCGTCAGAGAGCGATGATAATCAACAGATAGACGATATTTCTAAACTAACTGGAACTGGCACCACTCCGCCAACAAATGAAAACACTATAAAAATTGGCACCAATCTGGCACCTATGGAAAGCGCTCTAAGTAAAGTCCTGATCCAGCATTGTGGCCAAGAATTTTAGTAGATGCCGGAAGAAGTTTTTTGTTTAGGCAAGGTCCATCTAAGCCATTGTAAAATTGCAAATTTCCTATTTTTACTTCACAACTGGGTGCATAGGTACTCAGTTGTGAAGTAAAGAAGAATTAAAAGAAGACACGGTTTCGGAAAAAGTCAATATAAATTTCCTTTCGTTGACACTGGTCGAAAATTTAGCGCAACAGTCTCTACTCCTATCTCCAGCTGTTCATATGCTACCGCATTGCAGTTATCCTACTAAATGTGATCATCGCCTTATAAACAAGGTGATGATCGCATTTAGTGTACACAGCGTACATTTGGTGTCATCTGCTTCCTCCATGGATAACCATGCAGACATTAATATCTACACAGATTGGTCTAAATGATCCTTTCATGGTGACTAAAGTATTTCTTTCTTCCTCCAAACTGACATATTTTGCCCAAAATATGTTAGAAGGTACAGATACTTCCCATATACCTCCTTCTATCAAATTGAAGAAGATGCTGACTACCAAGCTGTTCAGTGAGCCACTTCACTATCAAACAAAATTCTGTCTATCAACGTTTACAGTGATTCTCAGTCTGTCCTAAAAGCTCTATTAAATCCCAATTCCAATAGCAATAAAATCACATATATCCAGCAGCATATTAAAAATCTTGTAAATAAGATAACTTTATACATTTTCCTGGCGATACTATCATATTTAGGAATGAATAAGCCGACTTTGAGGCTAAGCCAGCTGCAGAAAACATTGATTTGGACTACACTCACATCCCTCTCTCACGTAGTAGCCTTAAAAATTATATTAATGACAACGCTATGCGTTGTCATTAATATGGCTGAGCAGTAAAACTAGTAGAATCAACAACGTGGAATCAACAATGGCTGAGCAGTAAAACTAGTAGAATAACAAGATTTTATTTTCCTAGTGTTGAATGCAGGATCATCACCACTTAGAGATGTAACATTTGCCAAATGATCCATCATTGTACAATTTACGATCAACATACAATTATTCTGAAATTAGAAATCTTTACGCTTGGTTTCAGGTGGCCAGGTCCACTCTATAAACTTGTTCAGAAGCAATTGTTTGATGCTTTTTACAATTATGTTCAAAAAACATGGAAGAAAATACTATTTATAATTTTTAATATCTAGTTTTACATTTTAGTTTTTACTAAAAACCTAATACTAATTTTATGTTTACTTTGAATCGTGTATTTTGATTTACGTATTCTTAGTGTTATACATTCAAAAGAGTGTTGCATTTATTCTAATAAAAAAAAAAGAGAGAGAGAGAGAGAGAAACCACCACACGGCCTTTCTCCCATGAAAAAAAAAAAAAAAAACGTGTAGAGCGTAAGTCTGCTAGCGTTATTATTTTATCACGTAACACGAGATGGCTTTAGTACAATGAGGGTCTTAATATAAACAGCCACATTGAAGCCAAATTCAAAACTCCACCACTCAACGAGATAAAAAACTAAAAATAAGAATATAGTAGAGCGTCGTTTATCCGAATCAATTGGGGACTGGGGTTGTTCGGATAACTTGTTTTTCGGATAACCGATTATGCACGAAAAAATACATTAACCTATCAAATCCTAAAATTTTTCTCCATTGCATGTCGCTTTGCGTTAAATTTTCGTCGATGTTAAGCCTAACGTAAACTTTTTAAAATAATAATCGTGTCTATTGTATCGTTAAAAATTATTTCTTTATTTTGTACAAACAAAATAAATATATTGAAAAATATAAAAATAATAAAAAATTATACTTCAGAAGTTAATTTAGTATCAAAAACGTAAAATATTTGAGTAGCCCAAGACATAGACGAAGATTGCAGCGCCACAGCACTAGCGAAAATTTAAATTTGCCAACTGGAATTCTTTCGGATAACCGACGTTTCGGATAAACGACGCTCTACTGTATCACTTGTTGGCAAAGCGGCTGGTAACAGCTAGTTTTCAAATAAAATTAATGTGTGGAATAAGAATGGATTTGACGATTTAAATAATTTGGGTAAAGATGGCAAAAGACACGAAAATCGTAAATGTCACATCGATTCTTTCGTAAAATTGAAGCAATTTGGAATCAAAGCAGAATAAAATTTAACTTTAGTAAACAATATAAAATACACATTGAAAATTATAACGAGATAGTTAAGGCTAATAGATATAACTAAATTAATAGATGTTATATGTTTTTTATTAAAGCAAGAATTGGCATTTAGAGGGCATAGGGAATCTATTGAATCTAATAACAGAGGTAATTATATTGAACTTGTTTATTTATTAAGTACGTCAGGTAATCTATTAAAAATACATTTAAAGAAGTGTACCGTTTTTACTGGCTTATTTAACAAACGAATACGAATGGACCCTGATGCGCAATTAATTAAATTAAATTAAATTAACTGATTGCCCCTGTAAGTCGGCTTTTTACAAAATCATCTTCCCTATCATCAAATGTCACAGCACGCTACTGTACGACGGCCATGTGTAACATTACTTTGGTTGTTTCTGAAACCCATTTTAGATATGAACTTACTTTCTTTGAAATCTGACAACGGGATCTGCTAGGAGATCGCTCAGATCGACAGTTTTCCCTTTGGTCAGAACATCAGGATGCTTCTTATAAAATAACCATCCTATGTGTGAGAAAAAGAATCCTCGATTGGAATTGTGAGGATCGGCATCTGTTTCGGAGAATTTATGGTGTACTCGATGATCTCTGCACCAATCGTATATATCCGTCTGTCAAGAAAAAAAGAAAAAAGCATTATTAATTTCTCATTTTTAAAAAAATTAATTATAATATTAATATATTCTCTAGCAGAATATCAAACTTGTACAAGTTACAGCGAAATTAACTTCTAACAAGTCTAACCTCCAATAACGGACACCTGTAAATTTTGAAAACTTTTTTTTTTAATAAAAATGCTTACTGATTAACCTCCAAACAACGGCCACCTCGAACAACAGTCATTTTTTATGTTCCCGTAAGTGGCCGTTGTTCTCTGGTTGACTGTATTTTAAAAATCATTAAATTTAATTACTAAAATTTATTTTTTTATTAAGCTAACCCATTTATAATATTAAAAAAGCACGTTGCTTTGTAACTAATTACAGTCAGACCTCTAAAAAACGCCACTGGTAAGAACATAGAAAAGTGGCCTTTGTTGGGAAGTGAAGCCGTTATTGTGAGGTTCATTCGCTTCGTCCAGAAAGTGTAACTTACAATTTTACGTCAATTTGACGTCATTTTTTAAATTTGTTCATTTTAACACTGAAGAGGTGACGTCAAATTGACGTTTAAAGTTTCTATTCGAAACAAACAGGGCAGTAGGCTACGATCCACGTTAAATTATGTAAATAATGAACATCCTTTGCCGGCGGTGATAATTAAGACATTTTTTTCGAATTCTTCTTTAAAAACTTTCATAGATTCTTGATATTAAATGCTTAATTATCACCCCCGGCAAAAGATACTTCCGTATTTACATATTTTACTATGAGTCGTTATTTTATGACTTATTTTGTACAATGTATTATTTTCTGCGCGTCATCCTATTTTTAACCTCTCAATAACGGACAACTGACCGCAAGGTCAATTATCCGTTGTTGAGAGGTTAAAAATAGGATTTTCAGTGTCCAGGATCGACATTGAAAGTAATCATTTTTCTTCATAAAGAAATGACTACCGTTTAGAGGTGTTGAAGGTTCGACTGAATAATGTTTTGTGTATAAAAAAGTTAGGAATGCTAATTTTAATCTACTTAATTTTTTACGCCTCCTAAATAACGATAGATGGGTCTAATATTACTACTACTACTACTACTACTTAAAATTTTATCATGTGGTATAATCAAGGTTAATTTATAAATATGAATATATGAATTTATAAAAATAATATTATAATTACAAATTATTCGTTAAGGTATAAAGTATTTTACTTATCATTTTATTTAAAAAATTCTAGATATTTGCCAATATTAAATTCCTCACTTGACAGTAATCAATATTAAAAAGTCATTATTTTATTTTAAAAAAAATGGCCGACGGTAATTTAAATAGTAAAAATATATTAGAAAATTGTAAAGAATATTTGTTTCAATTTATGGTATTGTCGCTAGAAGACATTTTTAAACCAATTTATTTTTCTTTTTACCAATTTTTATAGAGGCATGTCTTCAAATCTCTGTATATATTCAGTTTTTCAAATGAATTTATGTAAATTGAAAGCGCTTAAGGCTTAGATACAACTATAAAACAAAATTACGTAATACTGTAATTATAAACAATGTTACTTGACTAGTTTTTAGGATATTTGTCTCAAAATGTTATCAAACTTATCGATACATTTTATTTTCCCGGAAATAACACTTGAAATCCGAAATAATTACATTCCGAGTAACATAAATTGATATTTATTTGTTAAAATTTCTTTTAAACATTTGAAACATGCTTTGTTAATAGGATAAGCTTTCTACATGATACTTTATAAAGTGATTATATTTGAATTTAAAGCACTCCTAATGTGGGGATCTACTGTATAATAAATGTTAAATGTAAGAACTAAAGTCAAGAGCTATAATAAAGAATTTATATTTAACTTACATTAAAATTAGAAGAAAAGTTAAGAAATTACTTTTTAAACTTGCAAGCTCCTAGCTGAAGCTCACTGGTATCCGAATGGATAAAAGAATTAAAATAACTGAACACTAATCGTGAGAAACGGGCTGACCACGTGAAGTTTTTCGGTTTTTTTTATGTTTGTAACACTTAATAGGCCAATTTCACATAAAAAGTGCTCTAGGAACATTCCCGGCAGATCCTCGCGTGTCGCCTTGACGTGTACAAACAGTTCAATCTTAACTGAAACTATATTGTTTTCAATGCATTAATTTATTTTGAAATATTATATAATTTAAACAAATTGATAAACAGTCTGCACTCTTGAGGCCCAAGCCCAATTTCTTTGTAAGTGTAAGTGAAGCAAATCAAATTAAAAAGCAGCTATTATTTTTTATTATTATAATTTTTTTGAATGTTTCTTATGTTTTGTATGAGCCTCAAATACCAGTTTGATCCTAAGCATGTTTGGACAGAATCTGTTTAGATTGAACTTGAAAGTTGTGAACATATAAAGTTTCATTTCAAATAGTTATCGACAACCAGAAAATATGAAATATTTTTTGTANCTGAAGAAGACTATTGTATCGTTAAAAATTTTTTTATTTTGTACAAACAAAATAAATATTTTGAAAAATATAAAAACAATAAAAAATTATACTTCAGAAGTTAATTTAGTATCAAAAACGTAAAATATTTGAGTAGGCCAAGACATAGCCAAAGATTGCAGCGCCACAGCACTGGCGAAAATTTAAATTTGCCGACTGGAATTCTTTCGGATGATTGACTTTCGGATAATCGACTCTCTACTGTATATAGAATGAAACTCTCTCTCTCTGTTGAAAGCTTACCTGTACGGCCATACAGTTAAATATACACAGCAAGATTCGAAGTGGTAAAGTAGCTTTGTATGATCTATGGCACCATAGTCTGTGAGCACCGGCTGTGATTCCTAAACCCGCAATCATTCCATAAAGAACGGCTAAGGATAAATTATTGAATAAATAAATTAAATCATTCAATATAATTTAAATAATGAAATAAATCTTACCAAAAATGATAGTCTTCCACTGACTTCGAAACAATGTTAAGTATAGCGAATAAAGCGAAGCCACGTGTAAAAATGTCAGAAGTATCACGTTCTTCCATACCAATTCTTTATGAGGCTCGATTTTAACTTGATTTGCACTCATTTCAGCAGTCATGATGCGATCTCTGGATGAAAAAATTTATTAAAATAATAATTTTATCTTTCTCAGAACAGTTACTATTATTTTTAAATTAATAAATATTGAACATTGAACACACGATTTTTCACATATCCTGCTTAGATGAATAGAAGCAAGGTGGTGGAGAGGGGAGAGCTGGAAACTTTTCCCTGAATTAGGAGAAAAATTAGGGGCTTCGTCGTGGTTCCCATACGTTTAAATTAATATTATTTTTACTAACAAAAAAATAAAACATTTTACGGATCATTTATTCAATAATATGTGAAAAGAGGCCGGCTCTACCCACGGGCCCGATACAAGATCTCGACAGCCTTGAATAGAAGTTATATAATATTACATTTATATTTGTTTATAATCATTACTTCTACTATCATTATCATGAAATGGCGACGTTAATTTTACGTATAAATCTAATAATATATCTCCTCCATATTTCGAAACCGTGTTGTATCTTTATATCTGTTTAAAAAACTGCAATAACAAAACTGCAAACTCAACAAAAGCTGGAATAAATGAATGAGTCATGCCATGTGTTGATTACTGTGCTACATTGCAGTTTTTAAACAAATATATCTCCTATTATATTTTTATAAGAATATACACTTCCTCGACATAGTGACCTTAAACTTCATTACAACGAGGGTGTTTGATAAGTTTGCCGTTGACAACTGTAAAAAAGAGGAAATGGAATAACCTTTCACATGTGTTTTGTTGGTTGTCGTCTATTGTTTAAATCCATAAAGGAGGTCAATTGAAGTCAAGGTACGCTGACCTCAGAGAGCAACTCATTTAAGGATTTATTTACAAAGTTGAAAAAACCAGACATTTCAAGGATTTTTTTGTTTGTAGTTTCGAAGTTACTCGATTCATTTGTGTAAAAGGTTATTATGCTGATGACTTTAATTATAACATAAGATTATGGAAAATATAAAATTATGTCTATAATTATTCAAAAAATATTTTCATTTTCCAAAATAACTTTCTCAAAATAAGCTTCCTTGTAGATCGTATAAAAAAGATTTTAGTATGGGACTTTGTCGGTCCTGAATGTCTACATTCATTAAAAAAATAATAAAATTATACAATTAATTCTGGTTTAAACATAAAAAAATATAATTTAGCAGCACGATATAACAATTATAATAATAAAATTAATATATTTTTGAAGTACAGAATGAAATTAAATATATATATCACCTTATCTTGTAACGTTAAGGTATAAAGTATTTTACTTATCATTTTATTTAAAAAATTCTAGATATTTGCCAATATTAAATTCCTCACTTGACAGTAATCAATATTAAAAAGTCATTATTTTATTTTAAAAAAAATGGCCGACGGTAATTTAAATAGTAAAAATATATTAGAAAATTGTAAAGAATATTTGTTTCAATTTATGGTATTGTCGCTAGAAGACATTTTTAAACCAATTTATTTTTCTTTTTACCAATTTTTATAGAGGCATGTCTTCAAATCTCTGTATATATTCAGTTTTTCAAATGAATTTATGTAAATTGAAAGCGCTTAAGGCTTAGATACAACTATAAAACAAAATTACGTAATACTGTAATTATAAACAATGTTACTTGACTAGTTTTTAGGATATTTGTCTCAAAATGTTATCAAACTTATCGATACATTTTATTTTCCCGGAAATAACACTTGAAATCCGAAATAATTACATTCCGAGTAACATAAATTGATATTTATTTGTTAAAATTTCTTTTAAACATTTGAAACATGCTTTGTTAATAGGATAAGCTTTCTACATGATACTTTATAAAGTGATTATATTTGAATTTAAAGCACTCCTAATGTGGGGATCTACTGTATAATAAATGTTAAATGTAAGAACTAAAGTCAAGAGCTATAATAAAGAATTTATATTTAACTTACATTAAAATTAGAAGAAAAGTTAAGAAATTACTTTTTAAACTTGCAAGCTCCTAGCTGAAGCTCACTGGTATCCGAATGGATAAAAGAATTAAAATAACTGAACACTAATCGTGAGAAACGGGCTGACCACGTGAAGTTTTTCGGTTTTTTTTATGTTTGTAACACTTAATAGGCCAATTTCACATAAAAAGTGCTCTAGGAACATTCCCGGCAGATCCTCGCGTGTCGCCTTGACGTGTACAAACAGTTCAATCTTAACTGAAACTATATTGTTTTCAATGCATTAATTTATTTTGAAATATTATATAATTTAAACAAATTGATAAACAGTCTGCACTCTTGAGGCCCAAGCCCAATTTCTTTGTAAGTGTAAGTGAAGCAAATCAAATTAAAAAGCAGCTATTATTTTTTATTATTATAATTTTTTTGAATGTTTCTTATGTTTTGTATGAGCCTCAAATACCAGTTTGATCCTAAGCATGTTTGGACAGAATCTGTTTAGATTGAACTTGAAAGTTGTGAACACATAAAGTTTCATTTCAAATAGTTATCGACAACCAGAAAATATGAAATATTTTTTGTAGAAAAGGCCTCTAAAGAAAGGTTGTCTTTGAAATGGAAATAGTTGTTCCTGGCGATTGGACATGGCAAGCAAAATTGGACTCGTATCCAGATGTATTTTACTTTTTATTAAAATGAAATATTTTAATTTAACAATTTAAAAGACAAAGTTCACCATTTTTATTCTGTGTATAAGACAATACAATCCTGGCGACCGACCTTTCTTTATAGGCTACTAGCCGCCAAAACGCTAAAAAAGTCCTTTAAAAAACACAGATTTTCCAGTTAAAAAATATATAAATTTTTCTAAAATAGGAATTGGTGACATACGAACGTCTTCTTTAAACCATCTAACCTTCTTGGGGTGTTCCGGCTTTATATCCACGAAGTAGTAAGCGCTGGAAAATGTAGATTTTTGAACGCCTCCCCCTGGTGACGATATCTTACAATTTTAAATATCTTACAAATTGTAAGATATCGAAGTAGTAAGCGCTGGAAAATGTAGATTTTTGAACGCCTCCCCCTGGTGACGATATCTTACAATTTTAAATATCTTACAAATTGTAAGATATCGAAGTAGTAAGCGCTGGAAAATGTAGATTTTTGAACGCCTCCCCCTGGTGACGATATCTTACAATTTTAAATATCTTACAAATTGTAAGATATCGAAGTAGTAAGCGCTGGAAAATGTAGATTTTTGAACGCCTCCCCCTGGTGACGATATCTTACAATTTTAAATATCTTACAAATTGTAAGATATCGAAGTAGTAAGCGCTGGAAAATGTAGATTTTTGAACGCCTCCCCCTGGTGACGATATCTTACAATTTTAAATATCTTACAAATTGTAAGATATCGAAGTAGTAAGCGCTGGAAAATGTAGATTTTTGAACGCCTCCCCCTGGTGACGATATCTTACAATTTTAAATATCTTACAAATTGTAAGATATCGAAGTAGTAAGCGCTGGAAAATGTAGATTTTTGAACGCCTCCCCCTGGTGACGATATCTTACAATTTTAAATATCTTACAAATTGTAAGATATCGAAGTAGTAAGCGCTGGAAAATGTAGATTTTTGAACGCCTCCCCCTGGTGACGATATCTTACAATTTTAAATATCTTACAAATTGTAAGATATCGAAGTAGTAAGCGCTGGAAAATGTAGATTTTTGAACGCCTCCCCCTGGTGACGATATCTTACAATTTTAAATATCTTACAAATTGTAAGATATCGAAGTAGTAAGCGCTGGAAAATGTAGATTTTTGAACGCCTCCCCCTGGTGACGATATCTTACAATTTTAAATATCTTACAAATTGTAAGATATCGAAGTAGTAAGCGCTGGAAAATGTAGATTTTTGAACGCCTCCCCCTGGTGACGATATCTTACAATTTTAAATATCTTACAAATTGTAAGATATCGAAGTAGTAAGCGCTGGAAAATGTAGATTTTTGAACGCCTCCCCCTGGTGACGATATCTTACAATTTTAAATATCTTACAAATTGTAAGATATCGAAGTAGTAAGCGCTGGAAAATNAAGACTATTGTATCGTTAAAAATTTTTTTATTTTGTACAAACAAAATAAATATTTTGAAAAATATAAAAACAATAAAAAATTATACTTCAGAAGTTAATTTAGTATCAAAAACGTAAAATATTTGAGTAGGCCAAGACATAGCCAAAGATTGCAGCGCCACAGCACTGGCGAAAATTTAAATTTGCCGACTGGAATTCTTTCGGATGATTGACTTTCGGATAATCGACTCTCTACTGTATATAGAATGAAACTCTCTCTCTCTGTTGAAAGCTTACCTGTACGGCCATACAGTTAAATATACACAGCAAGATTCGAAGTGGTAAAGTAGCTTTGTATGATCTATGGCACCATAGTCTGTGAGCACCGGCTGTGATTCCTAAACCCGCAATCATTCCATAAAGAACGGCTAAGGATAAATTATTGAATAAATAAATTAAATCATTCAATATAATTTAAATAATGAAATAAATCTTACCAAAAATGATAGTCTTCCACTGACTTCGAAACAATGTTAAGTATAGCGAATAAAGCGAAGCCACGTGTAAAAATGTCAGAAGTATCACGTTTTTCCATACCAATTCTTTATGAGGCTCGATTTTAACTTGATTTGCACTCATTTCAGCAGTCATGATGCGATCTCTGGATGAAAAAATTTATTAAAATAATAATTTTATCTTTCTCAGAACAGTTACTATTATTTTTAAATTAATAAATATTGAACATTGAACACACGATTTTTCACATATCCTGCTTAGATGAATAGAAGCAAGGTGGTGGAGAGGGGAGAGCTGGAAACTTTTCCCTGAATTAGGAGAAAAATTAGGGGCTTCGTCGTGGTTCCCATACGTTTAAATTAATATTATTTTTACTAACAAAAAAATAAAACATTTTACGGATCATTTATTCAATAATATGTGAAAAGAGGCCGGCTCTACCCACGGGCCCGATACAAGATCTCGACAGCCTTGAATAGAAGTTATATAATATTACATTTATATTTGTTTATAATCATTACTTCTACTATCATTATCATGAAATGGCGACGTTAATTTTACGTATAAATCTAATAATATATCTCCTCCATATTTCGAAACCGTGTTGTATCTTTATATCTGTTTAAAAAACTGCAATAACAAAACTGCAAACTCAACAAAAGCTGGAATAAATGAATGAGTCATGCCATGTGTTGATTACTGTGCTACATTGCAGTTTTTAAACAAATATATCTCCTATTATATTTTTATAAGAATATACACTTCCTCGACATAGTGACCTTAAACTTCATTACAACGAGGGTGTTTGATAAGTTTGCCGTTGACAACTGTAAAAAAGAGGAAATGGAATAACCTTTCACATGTGTTTTGTTGGTTGTCGTCTATTGTTTAAATCCATAAAGGAGGTCAATTGAAGTCAAGGTACGCTGACCTCAGAGAGCAACTCATTTAAGGATTTATTTACAAAGTTGAAAAAACCAGACATTTCAAGGATTTTTTTGTTTGTAGTTTCGAAGTTACTCGATTCATTTGTGTAAAAGGTTATTATGCTGATGACTTTAATTATAACATAAGATTATGGAAAATATAAAATTATGTCTATAATTATTCAAAAAATATTTTCATTTTCCAAAATAACTTTCTCAAAATAAGCTTCCTTGTAGATCGTATAAAAAAGATTTTAGTATGGGACTTTGTCGGTCCTGAATGTCTACATTCATTAAAAAAATAATAAAATTATACAATTAATTCTGGTTTAAACATAAAAAAATATAATTTAGCAGCACGATATAACAATTATAATAATAAAATTAATATATTTTTGAAGTACAGAATGAAATTAAATATATATATCACCTTATCTTGTAATTAATTCTATTGTCAGGACATTCATACCGTTATGTCACATAATAAGAAAGTTCATTAACATTACTTTAGGTGTCAATTTATATTTCGTAACCCAGTTAAAGTTTCTATAATATTCATTTACTAATTATTTTCTTCACAATATGTAATGCTAACTTAAGCTAAACAAACTGAAACTTAGGGACTCGTATTATAAATCTGAAGCTTGGGAAGGATGGAGCCCCAAGCTTCAGATTTATAAATCTGAAGCATGGGGCTCCATCCTTCACTTGGGCCTGGTCGAATCCACAGTGGGCTTACTAAAAAGGTCCTCTTAGTGTCCACAGGGCAAAAAGATTTTTCAAAATGTTTTTGGCTTAGACCCTTGCATTTTTGCATACTTTGGTGGGGGAAGGGCCTATTATGTTATTATAACTTCCGTAAAAAATTGATAAGTCCAGTTCAGATTATAATATTTTACAAATTATAAATAAATGATCGCAAATAATGCGATTAAAGAAGCTGTAACTGTCCCTTTGAAGGAGGAGTGCAGAAAGTGCCTAAGAGATGTCTGGTGTATAAATAAGATATAATCTACCTGCAAAAACAATTCAAAGTAAGAAAGGCTTTATTAATTAACTAGCAGGTAGGCCCGGCGTTGCTCGGGCAAAAGTAACGATAGTGAAGATTAAGATTATTACGTTATAGTCAACCTTACCCGTTTTCACAAAATGCAAGAATTGGGTCTTCCTGTTTCCGGACTAATTAGAGAATTTTTAGATGGGTCTAAAAATATGTTCGATTTCCCGCAAAAACGAAAAAAACTGCATCTGCGTCTTGTACGTCGCTTTCTCTTAACAATTCCATTGTTACGTAACACTTCCATTGTTAACACTTACATTGTTACCTAAGGCCCGAAACGCGTCTCGACAAATAAAGTTCTGAAATAAAAAGTTGATGATAAAAATTGCCAAATGTCTATGAATTCACCTAGTCGTGAAATTGAACCAAAGAAGAAAAAGAAAACACGGTTTCGATACATACAACAACGAAAATAAATTATTAACGCTTAAAGAGAAAAAAGAAGTCGGATAAATTGGAACAGGAAAAATAGGAAAATCCTTGGCCAAATTTGCAAAATTGTTTTGGTAGTTTGTCCGTCTGATAAAAAGAAAATTATTATGTTTTTACTTTTCATTAAAATCTTCTATAAAAATTGTTCTGGTGTTATTTAATTTATACTCCTGTTTAACAACATTAAGTTAGAACATTCAAAAACTTTACTTAAAATACATTTTAATAAATTATAACTCGAAAAAAAGATGCATATTATAATTATAATGCATTGATAATATATATAATCTGCTAGTCAGTGGTTTGATTGGATAACACTACTGAACACTAGTCACGGGTTCGCGTCCTCAACAGGCTGGTCACATGGCGTTTTCCGGGTTTTCTTCATGTTAGTAACACATAAATAGGGGCCAGTTTCACATAAAAGTCCTCCCGGGAGGCATTCCCCCTGGCAGATCGCCCACGTTGCATAATTAAATAACCAAATGTTGCCATAACCAAATAAACCACTAAGCGCGTTGTCATAACCAAAATTATACTTAAATGAGGGTCACTTACCCATAGAAAGTCCTTTTTCGGCAAATCGCCCAAGTATTGCGTTGCCTTATTTTATTAATCCAATCCAATGACACTTTAAAAAAACTCCAACTTTCCATGATAAAAGAAATACAGTAAAACAAGTGACGCTGCCAAACTGAAAGGATATGTTAACGTTAATATTTCGACTTTAAATAATGTAAATATTTAACCAAATATATCTAAACTTGTAAAATGTTTAAATTTATAAATTAGATATATAACAAGGAAATTAATTACTCTGTTTGAATGAAGAAACATTTTATGTTTAATTAAACGCTGAATTGAATAAATAACTACGTTCTGAATTTACAATATTAAATATATAACATACAGTATAACACACCGTTTTGCTGTATGCCTTTTTCCATTTTTGAAATTATGCATATTTGACATAAAATTTCGTTTGTCTCATAGGAGTGTCATTTGATTTTTATGTGTTTCTTCCTTATGTCACTAATAATGTATTACAAATTAACACACATCTACTAACACACAACTACACAACTCACGAGCAGTTTGATCTAAACCAAACTGACACAGGTTCGTAAAATAATTAAGAGTAAAGTTATATTATAATTTGTTTGGATGTGGCAAAACATTTGTGTACATTACACATTTAACATTAAACAATAGATTATTAAATGAGGATACATCTATTTATAATGATTTTATTACAGGAACTGTACTTACTCCTGTATTTATAAAAGTTTCCATTACATTTTTAATGAAATGAACGATTGTAAAAATATCTCTTATTCTCATTTAAATTCTTTAGGACTTCCTCGACAATTGAGAATTTTCACGTGTGCAAATTATGGTAAAGAGCAACCCAATGCATGCTTATACTATAATGTATACTATTGAGAAATCGTCACAATACCGAGCTGCAATTTTTAATCATATTTTAATTTTAAAAAAAATCACGTGACATCCGGTCTAGATCGAAAAGTTAATATTTAGTTAATCAGGCCTTTGGCCCCTAAGCTTTTCATCTACGTAACACCGTTCTCAAGATTAACGAAGGACAGACGGACGGATGACAGTGGGAATGTATAGTTCTGTAATCTGAGAATTGCAGTCCAATAAATAAACTGTAAAACTATTTAAAATAAATAATATTCGTATATTTAAAATTAATCGTTCCTAGTAATAACAAGCAAAAAATATTCATATACTGTATTTCTTACATTAAAAAATCATATACACTGTCGCTTAGAAACGGTGCCCAAGGGCCATCATATTGGGGCTTTGCTCCCTTGAAACCATAGGGTTACCCAATTTATGTTTAATAAAATTTATCAAACATATTTTTGATTGTTTACAGTTTATAATAATTTTATTACTTGTTGCTCTATTCAATTTTGCATATTTTCGAGGTATCGAATGTTAAGAGACCCTGGCCCAGGCCCGGTAGGCCACACCTAAAGACGGGCCTGCCCATGAAGGAAAGTGTCGTGAGGCGCTAAGCTGGATATAAAATATGTACTTCATAAATAACTTGTATCTTATATTTTGTTAGAAAGTAAGCTAAAAAATTTATAAATTTCATTTATATATCTACTCTATATATAAAATTCTTAGCTTAAAGTCACGAAATTTTTATTGTGAGTAGTCTATATTGGGAATAAGGAGGCGAAGCTCCTCTATTGCACAGTTATACTGTATCAATAAGTATACATGATTAATTATAAATTAAAGCACTATATGTCATCAAACATACAATAAAAACACTGTATATTACTTGTTAATTAGTACAATTAGTAATAATTAATTAATTAAAGACTATGTTTTGAAGAAATTATTCACGTAACGGACTTTACATAAACAATAAAATCTGTCCAAAACTGAGTTCCGAAGAATTCTTCCCGTTAAGGCAGGTTTCCGTTTTGGACAGGTTTTACTGTATATACAGTACATATATCCTGCAGTTCAGTACAGCATAATGTGTATGTACTCTACTGTATATAACATACCCTTAAAGTTTACAATAAATGAATGTTTGTTTCTTCTGCATAATTACAAATTTATCTTTGATTTTCCTTAAATTATAATAGTTCAATTTGCATATTTTATGACGATTCTTTTTTACATTTATTACGCTCGGCTGTTTCCTTTAAACGTTTCAATTGTCTTCTATCCGAATGTGTTAACTATAATAATAGGAAAAGAAATTTATATTTTATTGTTGCAAGGGTGTTATTTTAATGATCATAAACATGTTACTACAGTAGTGTATTAAAGGATGTATTTGTTTACTATGATTAAGCGGAGAACACTTTACATTTTAAATTAATTATTTCCTTTATTAACACCCAAACCGATCTGCACAAATTTTTTACTCTCAAAAAATAAGGATACTCTCAAAAATTGTATAACCTGGATATCCTAATCTTCCCCTTGATTTTATCGTATTCTTTAAAGATAAATTTATCTTAAGATAAATTATCATATAAAAACTCGAAAACTAGTCTACATCTAATGCATTCTTGTCGGTTCACTGCAATTTACTTATTGATATTTTTAGAATAAACTAAAATATTTTACAAATCTTTGACAATAAATTACATCTAGAACGAAGCAAAAATAAATTTCGAATTCTAAAATTATCTAAACATTGAAAAATAATAATATAAATCAAAATTTATATTCAATAATTTCAATGTGACACGATGATTGATGGATAAATATTCCAGAAAGAACATTCGTGGATATACAACGAGGGTCTATGACCTAATATATATTGTAATAATTAATTATAGTTACTATTCTTTAAATAAAATTTCGCTTAATTGATGGTATTTTTATTTTAAAAATGCAATATTAAATCGTTAAATATAAAAGATAATTTTTTTATTTGAGAAAAGAATAAACCGGAACGTGAAGATAAGGTTGTTCCTCTTCTTAATTTATTCTTTCATACAAGAAGTGGTACCAAAACAAAAATATTATTTTTATTAAAATTTTAGATATTTGACATTGATAATGTATTTCTACAGGCTAAAACACATTAACTCTGACTAGAAATCGACCCAATTAGACGTCTCTAATGATAAGTTATCCAATTTTTGAATACATTTAAACAAAAATTACTATCAAATACATTAACTACGAGGTAAAATAGGGTAAAAAAAGACTTAACAATGGTAAAATTATGACTATAAAACAATTTTCCATACTTGTTAAAACTCTCTTCGTCCAGTAGGCACGATAAAGCGAGTCACCCACGATAAGTATGGAAAAGTGTACCTTTAGTATGGAAAAAAGATTCTGTAGGGCCTACAGGGCCTTTTTCCATGCCTATCGTGGGTGACACGCCACGCGGGTCTTTAACGGATAAGTGCCAAATATTTTTAGATAGGTTTTAAAAGATTGTGCATAAGTTATATATTTATGGTTAAGAGGTGGGGAACAGTCACCTCTTTGCTCACACTAAATGTATCTCTGCTAATATAAACACTCCATTATCAATAAGCGTACGAATGTACTGTACAATTAAATATTATTTAAATAAATAAAAGTTTGCTTTAAGTGTAAGCGTTTTACAATACAAATATATATATATAAATNGGTTCCTGCACCTATAAATTAATGTAATTTTTACTAACAAAAAAATACAATTTTTAAGAGTAATTTTTATTTAATTTGCTCAAAAAATATCAAAAGGGACTCTGTAACCAGGACCCCATACAAGTTCTGGACGGCCTGTTCGGCAGCCTTTCTTTAATTCCTCTACATATCTCTTTTATAATGTTATTGCTGCATATATAGGCCTATATATATATATATATACATGCTTAAGACTATACAATTTCTATTCGGTAACTCACCTTACAGTTTGGAAGTGGAAGATAAATATTTGATAGAAGAGTGTGAATAGTTAAATAAGGAAAACGTAGAAATAAAAACAAACTAATGCCTTTTATCCAGAAAACTTTTGTAAATTGTTCGACACTGTGTCGTACTGATCCAAAGAGGGTCACGTACAGATGTATAGTGATGACTGGATAGAAGGTCACCAGTGACGTAGTGATGAGGATTGGGAATTTTGTGAAGTTATATAGCACAGTCCGTTTCTTGATATTATTAAAAAAAAAAAAAATGCTAATTCTAAGGTTATATTATCTATTGATGATAGTTTTAAAAACTTAATCTTTAACTATCATTAACATACTTATTGTTTTTATTATTTAAAAGTAAGAAAAGAAATGTTGGGGGAAAATATCATCTACATAATAGAGCTTTATAGAAGGTCAGATGGCTCAGGAAGTTAAAACGTCAGCCTATCGCTCTGGGGGCCCATCATTGGCCAAATGGATAAAAACCACTGAATTGGTAGTGGTCACGGGTTTTTGCTCGGCTAATGGATTGACTACGTTGAGTTTTAAACAGCGTATATTTCTCACCCCGAAAAGAACAGTGATATAACTCGTAAATGAATGATTTTATTGCCTTTTTTAATATAAACAAACAGGGCCTTATAGCAAAATTGCGCACAGGAACGTAATCCGCTACTTAACTTACCTACTTTTTTATTCAGTTTGTACTAAGTACAATGCCAGCACCGCTGGATTTAAAATACAGTAGAGAGGTTGCGGCGCAAGTTCAAACGTTACTTGTACACGGCAAGCAGAAGTACACGGTTTACGTTTTAACTACAAGAAAAAATCGTTGCGGCACACGTTCACAACATCGCGTGACTCAGTGAACGTCGTGCATTGACTCACGGGAAATTTGTTGAAAAAAATGGCGGATACATTTAATATCGAGGGTTACCAGCAAAGGTAAATAAACAAATTAAACTATTTTGACAAACAACTTAACAAATTAAATTAAACTAACAATTAAACTACAAATTAAACTAAACAAATTAAACTAAAGTATTTATAAGATGTTTAATAACACTAAATAATTATCTTTAATTAGCGTGGTGTCTCCTACCGTACGATAGGACCACCTCATACTTTTGTCGAGGGAAGTAGTGGCTTATGTAAATTCGAAAGCAGCTCGGAAAATTAATTTTTAGTAAATTTACAAGCGTATTACGCTGTTGATAGTAGATGATGTCGTGGAAGAGCAAACCTACCTTAAGATAAGCTATTATGAAGGAAATATATG